GTTGCTTGGTGCATACTCTTCTGACAATATTTTTCTGAACATGGTTTTAATGCTGTATTAAAAGATAAATTTCAGTTGAACAGAGTCTAAATTGATTAGTATTACTAAGTGACAGAAAAGAAGCATTGACCTTCCTTATTAAAGAGACCGAATTTGCATGAGTTACAGCAGCAAAATATCTCATGGAATTTCATTGTATCAGAATAACCTGAAGTCCCAATTACATTTAAAATACTTATGACATATGCATATTTTTACTTTGTTTAAACTGAAAAATAACCTGGTAGAAATCTTAAAAAATAATATGAATTGTAGATCTCTAGTCTTTGCAACAATTTGGTGGAATAGATTGTAGTGGTGACATACTGATGGCTGACACAGCAGGCAGTGGATAACAAATACTGTATAACCTGACATTTCCCAACTTTTTGCTCTTAGCAGAAATAAGGACTTCATAAAACTGGCTTGTCTATTGAGAATACTAACTGAAAGGTGTTGGCAAAGCTATTGTTTTGCAAGTGTGAAGTATTATTATGTATGTAAACCGATTAAGAAAGATCTCTTATTTCCATTCTCTTCCTACTTACAGCACAAAATGACTCAATTAGTGTTTGTGCTTCTGTTAGGGATTGTTTTATCTGGTAGGGATGAGAATTTAGAATGAATTTAAAACAAGGAGAGCCTTTAGTAGAAGGGAGGGTCAGGTTTTATTATTTTGTTAGAACAGATTGGATATTTTCTATCGCTACTTGGTATCTTTAATCGTAGAAGGTCATGAAATGGGTTTAAATATTTTATATGAAGATGGTGTTTCCCAGGAAAACAGCTTGTGAGTAAGATTTGTATGTTAGTGTCTAAATCAGATGTATCACCATGTACTATTAGCAAACTTGGAGATTTGTGTGGTGAATTTAAATAAATTAGGGAGGCCATCTGTTACAGAGGATTATCATTAGGCTTTTAAAAGCCAATTTTAGCACCACGATTACTACAGTTTGTTCAAATGGCTGTGAATTACAGTTATACACAGGAGAGATTAAAAAAGAGTGATATAATTTACTCCTATTTGTATGTTAGTTAACATTAAAATGTATAGTAGATTTTTGCCCCCTTTTTAATTTTTTTTTAAACAAGCAGCTCTAAGTGCATAAGGAAGGATGAACATGTTATTAATCTACTTCTGTATATTTGTACTGAAATTTCCCACTAACTTTATGGAAAACTGTCACTTTAGGATATATGGGAACTTGGTGTGAGTAAGATTTAGATTTTTTGCGGGTGGTGAAGAAAACTTGTTTGAAGATGTATTAGTATTGTGAATAGAAATGAGTCCAAATACTGTGTTTCAAAACAGATGTGAACATGCTGGCCCTGCTATTTTGCTTGTTGAGTCTTCTATTAATTTATGAAGAAACTCTCAGAAAATCGGTTCAATCCAGTCGTACCTCTGGGACATAAGTGAGCACAGCTTGAAAAAAAAAAAAACCTACTTGGATTCTTCTGGCTCAAGAATTAAGCTGCCTACCTGGAAAGTGAACTAGGGATATATGATTCTAGCTATTTAAATTGGTAAAGCTGTTCTGCATGTTACTTTTAATAGTATTCTTTAACTTTCTATAAATTGATTTTTTTTTTAAAATCATAAATAACTATCAGGGCAGGCCAACATATTAATCTTTGTCCCTATCATACTTCCAGTAGAAATTTTATGAAGTAACAGATGTATATTGGACTATTTGAGTAAATAAGTTGAGTATTGAAGTGCAATATTTGTGAAATTGCTCGTTTGATGAATGTCTATTTAAGCAATGTACTAATAAGTGTCAGATCCTGCCCTTGGGTCACAACAACCCCATGCAGAACTATAGGCTTGGGGAAGAGTGGCTGCCTGGTGGAAGAAGACGTTGGTTGACAGTCGAATGAATATGAGCAGGCAGTGTGCCCAGGTGGCCAAGAAGGCCAACAGCATCCTGACTTGTATCAGAAAGTGTGACCAAGCAGGACCAGGGAAGGGATCTTACCCCTGTACTCGGCACTGGCAAGGCTGCACCTCGATTCCTGTGTTCAGGTTTGGGCCCCTCGCTACAAGAAAAACATTGAGGTGCTGGAGCATGACCAAAGAAGGGCAACAAAGCTGGTGAGGGGTCAGAGCCCAGGTCTTAGCTCTCTACAACTACTTGAAGGGAGGTTGTAAGTGAGGTGGGTGTCAGTCTCAAGCAAAAGAACAAGAGGAAATGGCCTCAAGTTGCACCAGGGGAGGTCTAGACTGGATGTTAGGAAATATTTCTTCGGTGAGAGGGTTGTCAAGCACTGGAACAGGCTGTCCAGGGAAGTGGTTGAGTCACCATCCCTGGAGGTTAGAAGACCTGTAGATGTGGCACTTAGGGACATGGTTTAGTGGTGGACATGGCAGCACTAGGTTAATGGTTGGACTCAATAATCTTAAAGGTCTTTTCCACCCTAAAGAATTCTGTGATTCTATATACGTCTGTGTTAAGAAAGTTAGGGGAAGCAGGCATGTAAAATAACACAGACCTGATGCCCTGGTTTCACCTGTGTAAAGAGATGTTTTACTCTGTTCCAGCTATTTTTCACTCTGTATTAAACTTCAGGATTTATTGACATTCTTTATGTTTTTACCTAAGGCACTTTAATCTGTATGGTAGATGGTGTACTTCCTTCTTGCTATGCTTTTCCCCCACAATGGTGTATTTCTTTCCCTACTTTATTGTTCCTCTAGCCATGTTATTCACTGTCTTTGCCTGTAGGATTGTATTCCATACAATTTCCATCCTATTGACTTATTTACACTGGAATATTGTAGTATAGCCCCCCATCCTGTGTCTTATATTAAACTGAAAAATGAAACAAGGAAAAATATAACACAAACCAAGCTATGTGTTCAGCCACAGAGGCATTGCCAAGAGGATTTGTAATATGTTTGGGATGTACAGTAAGAATACTCTAAGAAGATATTAGTACCTATCTAGGCCTTCTCTGAAATACGGTGATGCATGCCATTGTTACATTAAAACTGATTCAAGAGTTGATTTTTTTTTCATCCAGGCTTCTTAAATCAATGAGCAGGATGTAGCTGAAGCCAATTTTCTTTAGTTATTTTTTTGAGAGCTATGACAGAATTCACTGTTTTGTGTACTTATTTTAGTGCCCCAGTACATCTCTTATTGTGATCAATGGGAGGCTTTCAATGACCAGTTCTGCCACATTATCTGCAAAATGGTGCAATTTAAGTGATGCAAAGCTTTTCCTGAGAACTCTGGTAAAAATCATGTACCTGGCAGAATACTTGGAAGTATGTACATAGTAATATGCACTATAGATCTCAAAATGTTTTGTTTTGTTTTGTTTTTTTTTCCAGGAAAAAAGTAAGGTCCAATTCAGATTTAGTAGTTTTGGGAATACTTCCTTTATATTTAAATAATCAAAGGGAACAGCTCTAGTGTATTCTTCTGTTCTTCTACTTTGACTCATTCATGTGTCCTTTCACAATTGTCAGTAAGAATAGGGAAGATACAGAGAAATTTTTTATATGCTACCGTGTGTAAGTACTGGGATATCCTGTAGAGTTACATAGATCTTGGTTTTGTAATATTAAATTGTCTGTCTTGATTGAAGATATTATCTAATTACATATATATATATAATTGATACATATGTACGGTTTTTGGAGGGAAATTTAATCTGAGATTTTACTATGAAGAAAAACTATGTTTGCATTTTTTAAATGCAAAAATAATTTGGTTTCTTGACTCCTCTTCATATTATTTTAATTTTTCTTGCACAGTGGGAGTCTGCTATGCAGGATTTTACATTGCATTTTCTACTTCTTGGTTTATCCAAAAGCCGTTGTGAGCCATTTGCATTTAAGGGGGGCATTTCAATATTTTGCCTTGTAAGTGCAAGGTGAGGGTGATTGAATTTAAGGATTAGAACAAGAAATTATTTCCTGCCTTTGTCCTGTTAACATATGCAGCATATTTATCTTTTCCTTGATCACAGTCTTCATACTGCTCTTTGTATCTTTCCATAAAGCCTCCTTCTACAATAACTGTCCTGATGTTCACTAGAAACAAGGAAATGCTTGATATATTGTAGAACATAAAACTATAATAATCTATTTTCAAATAAACTAGTAAATGGTGAAAAATGTAACTGTTACAAAGGGTAAAGTGTATTTCCTGTAATCCTAACAACAGTATTTTGCTGGAACTTACTTTCAACAAGCTTTACAAAACTGGAAGAATTGCTCTTCTAACAGGCATAATTAAACAGCAACCCCGAAATCAGGTTATACTTTATTGTTGTATGGAACTTGCATTTGGTCACTAATTCATCTGCCAAGCCTTGAATTCTTTCAACATTGCCTTTATAATTGCAGATTTATGGTGCGTGTTTTACGAGCGTATAGGTCTGCAACCATATTTTTTACCTGTGAAAGAATTGAAATCAATCTTTGAAATGTGTTTACAGCTCTCCCAGTTATTTAAAGAGCATATGCTTTAAAAATAAATAATTAAATAAATAAATTGCTTCCTCTCTAGAAACAAACTACTAAACCCCCTTAGCCTGAAGATGAAAATGGTTCCAGCGATGGGAGTTTAAACTGTAATCGATTTATTTTTAAATATAATAGATGCTATTTTCTTTTTAAGGTCTGGTAATTTGTTGAGATTTATTGGAGCAGTTGCCAGTTTTAGGTACGTACAGACACAGACTGAGATTTATAGCAGCGAACATTTCCCATGTGTCAAAAAGGTGGCCAATGCCAGGCTGCAAGGTTCAAGGCATCGCCCATTTTTCCATACAGCCTAGGTCCCCATCTAAATTTATCAACTTTTGCTGCTAAGGGCATGTTATTGTGCCCACGATATGTCTTTTCTTGCAAGTGCGCTTCTGGTTCAGCTTCCTTGCTCCGGAGAGTTTTCTATTTTGGTTCCCCGTGTCATGTGACCCCCCCCAGCCAGTGAGAGCCCCGCAGAGGGAATGGCAACAGCCTGCTGGGATCAATGTAAGTCAGAAAAAACTCGGGTTTTTACAGTTTCTCTCCCTCACACTCAATTTTAAATGCTGCTTTTACCCTGAACCTTTGCTGGGCACACCTTGTAACACCTGTGGCAAGGCTTAGAAGTTAGGGTGTTGGTTTGGTGTGGTTTTTTTTTTTTGTTTGTTTGTTTGTTTTTTGAGAAGCCTAAAAAACCAACAGAAAACAAACCAAATGCATTCTAGGTGTTGCCTAAAGTACGTTTTAAGTTTAATAAGAAATATTTCAGGTGTAGTAGTACTTTGTTTAACGTGTGCTATAATGGTGTAAAAAATCCTGGTGTAAAAAATCCTGCGCTGCAGTTGAGAGAGAATGATGTGACACCCCAACCCCCTTAGCCAGAATCGATCATTCAGGTAGAAGGACAATAGTAAACATGATCTGAAATCACATGCCGGTGCCTTGGCCGATTGGCTGAGACATAATAGTGAGAGGACTTAAATCAATTAAAGGCCAGTCATGTACGTGAGGCAGGGTGTCATTTTTCTGGTCTGAAGTGAAATACTGTATTTTGATCTCAGTCGATGCTGAGCAATACTTATATGATATTGAAATCATGTGTTTGGTGAAATTTGTCATTTTATTGTAGAGGCTCTTCCTGGTACAAAGTGAGAGGCTTGTCTTTCTATTTTTTAAGACAAGCTCTAAACTCAGTAGGTAAAATTTACCTGATAATTACTACTGAATAGTGGTTTTGTTTAACTTAACTGTTTTTTTCTTGGATAAATATGATTTTCCAAAAATTCTTCTCCCCATAGTAGCATATAGGTATGTTTTACTTCCTTTCTATTTATTTGTTTGTTTTGATTTGTTTTTTTTCCTATTTTTCTTTCTTCCAAATCACATGTGCTTTCTTTGGAGTTTACTTTTAAGTTTCAAAGGCTTAATTTGAATCCCTAAGTGGTATGCCTTGATATCATCTAAAGTTTGAGAACAAGGGGTTGTGAAAAAGACATAATGAAATAAGTTGGAATCTCTTGATTTCCCTTCATGCCTTGTAGACTGGACCCTGTATTGCATCACTTGGAGGTGCAGAGGCTATTACTGTACTTGATTTTTCTCTGTGTTGCTGATCTATACCTTGATGACCAGGCATTAGATGAAGGACTGTTTGAAATCTTTCTTCTCCCCTGAGAAAATCAATTTTGACCAGAGACATTTCACTTAATGATTGCACTGAAGTACAAAGAGCAGTGGTGAGGCATGTTAGATTTTTAGTGCAGTTCCTCTCATCACCATAGGTGCTGAAAAAACCCTATGTCCCAAATTCTGTTGGTTGTATTGCTGCAGTGTCAGAAGGGCAACAGCATCTATGTGTAAATACCTGACTCAGAAACTGCAAATAATTAGAAAAAGCCATCCTTATTATGCAAACGAGATGAAATTTATGGGCCAATCTTACAGATATTTTTGTTTAAAAATTTGCATTGTTGGGTTTGCTGATAAAGTGAAGCATGTACAGGATAGAAGATCGTTTATGCTGCTTTTTTAAAAAAAAAATATGTTTCTTCATTAGATGATAAATATTAACCCAGTGTTGCCTGTTTGCCTTTTCTTCGTGAGTTTGCACAATACCGCCATGCACGTTACAGGAATTTTAAGACCTCACCTTAGCGCTGGGTGCCCTGTTGCTTCCCACGACTTAATGCTAAGGCTTGTGAACATGAGTCCTCTGTTTAAGAAATGTGCTAATCTCTGTGGTAACCAGAGAAATTGCAAAAGATAAAATACAGATCCTCTAATTTAACTCATTGTGTTATTGTGTGTGCTTTTTTTGACTACTGGTTTACTTAGCTTTCATTTGTGCTCATCTGTCATTTTTGTTTCTGGAAATGAATATAAAAATTATTTTAAAAAAAGAAAATATTAAAAAATATAAAAAAAAAAAAAAAAAA